AAGGAAATTCCAATCCTTCTCAAATTCTCCTCCTTCACTTGGATGCAAGAAGACCAAGGCTACTAGCTTTAGCTTGGTGGTGCAAGGTCACCAATTCCTCAAAGTTAAGTTCATCCAATTCCTTTCCCATGTTTATTCTCCTCTAATCATGTGTTGCAAAATCCTAAATCCTAGTTAAAACACCTTCATACAAGGCTAAAGCATAGGTTGTACAACACCAACATATCACCTAGACACCCATAGATGATCACTACACACACCTAGAGAATATCACCCATAAACCCTAAGAACATGCCCCAAGAACATCAAGAACAACAACTCACATAGGTTTCGTCGATGTTTTGGCGGACTATCTGACTGCTTTGCCAAACTGTCCGACAGAACCGGACTGTTCCAGAATGCCCAGACAATTAACACTTAAACACTTTTTCCACCTAGGACCTGTGGACTGTCCACCTGATCACACGGACTGTGCGAGAAATCACACAGAGCCGATGCAGCTCGGCATGCACCCCCGGTCCGTTGCATTATTCACGGGAACTGTCCGTTCCTCTTGTGGACTATTCAGCAGGACAAAAGGATTGTCCATGCGAACATGAAGTCCTAAAACCAGAGAACCCCATCCTCAAGAATGGACTCTTGGACTATTCCACAGAACACCCGGATTGTCCGGTATAACACTTCGAATTTGTACTGTTAACCCTTAACCTATAGGCTTGACCACCCTATCCCCTATCTAAACACCACTTAGGACAACACTAATCCACTCTTGGTTCATCAAGCAAGCTCTCAATTTTGGATCACAATATTTATATTCCCTTTTCACTCTAATCCATTGAGATCCTTGAACTATCTCAAATCCATCCACTCTATCCCTCTCTTGCAGGTGTGCTATGAACTGAGGTACAAGTATGAGTTGTCATGACATTCAGGGTCATACCTAAATATATTTGATGCCCTATTGCAAAACTTAAGAAGGAGCCTACCACCTGCATGTAAGATGTGGCAATAGCAAAAAAAGATATGTGTTTCTAAACCATTTCTCCCTTTATCTCAAAAAATAGGCCACACATTATTTGAGATTTGAACGTTGTTATCTTTGATCAATAATTAGTCTAATAGTATGAATTTTGTACAACAAAAGTGGTTTTATTGGATTTATATTTGGGAGTACATTCTAATGACAAAAATTTTGCCACATATGGCAAAATTTTTTGAGATAAATTGAAAAATGGGCTGAAACCAGAATGTAAATGGGCTAAAAATATATTGCAAATGGGCTGAAAACATATTGAAAATTGGCTGAAAACAAGCTAAAAAATGGCCCATCTTTGATGTTGGGCGGTTAATAAATGGGCTAGGATGGTGATGTCATCACCCACGTCATCTTCCATGTCATCATCCATGTAGGCAGCCATGTAAGCATCCATAATGATGTGGCAATTCATTCATGACGGTTATTTTTTTGTCACAGGAAATGGACTTGGGCTGGGCTAACTAGGCCTCGGACTCTACCGTGTGGTCTAAGACCGTCACCGATTCTGTTAACCCGTGATGGTTTTCGGTAAACCGTCAGGGTTAATCCATGATGTTCAATCCATGATGATATCTGAATCCATCACATATGTTGCATAGTGACGGTTTTTTGGTGATCCGTGACGGAAATTTTTCATCATGGATTAACAGGTTTCTTGTAGTGTATACTATGAGAAAAAATAGCAATAAATGTGTGACCTTGAAGACCACATCAAGTCAAACCAGGGCTTTATATTTTAGGACAGAGGTATATCTGTAGCATATGCTTTTCTAACCTTACTAAGAATTACATCATATATGCAAGTGTTCTTTCCTTCTTCGCACGCTTTAAGTCTTCTTACGCTTTTCATTCTTACGGTATGAAGAATTACATGGGTATATACTAAGAATTACAGTACCTAATTTGTATTAATGCAATTAAGTATGTATATGCACTTAAGTAAAATTTGGGGCCCTAATTTAGTCGGGTAGGTGAATGTATCTTGTAGTTATTCATCACTCCACCATTATAAGTTTAATGCCCTTCTCTAATTAATTATGATGTATGATTTCTGAATTATGCGACTCTTAATGGTTGGATCGTGACATGTATTTCTATGACTTGATCCTGCAATTTAGTTGCGCTAGTTGGAGATCATGGACGGCTACTCTCCTGGATCTTCCTGCGACCCTCGAGTAAGTGCTACAGTGGTCGCGAGATGACGACACATGGTACTAACTTGTCGGCGGGGGTGAAGTCCTCACAAGAAGTCCACAACTGATCTATCATAGCAGTAGACGTGTTTACTATGCATGCCCTTAGAACACTAGCATGGAATGGTGTAGTTTAGAACTACAATTATGCTTGATCTCTAACCTTTATTTGTTTCTATATTTTATGTCTTGATTAGATGTTCTAATTAGGTGTTAATTATATTATTAATATGCCCTGATAACTTACTAGTTGACTTTAGCAAATTCTAACTTAGTAGTTGCTAATTGCATTAATTAGGTTAGCGCTTGTTCATTCATAAACCTTTCCTAGCTTCCTTAAGTTTGAAATAAACCCTAGAATACTCTAAGGGAAAGACTACAACTACACTATGCACTTACATTGTAAGAATTATGGTTAATGTGCTTACGGAGTACCAACAACAACCTTCTACTTCAAGGGTAGTGCCATCTTTCAAGTTAGTCATTGCGGTATAAAATGGTGATTTTTCAAGGCACCTATTTATATGTCTTTTATTTAAATGATTATCTATTTTTATTATGGTTAGCATTATGAGCAATAACATGGAAAAATTATCATGTGGACGAAGTTTTAGTTTCCTCTTGAAGTTACTAGTATATATAACGCAAACGTAAACATGCGACGGCTGCGCGATACAAGGACGACACGACCCCTTATTCTTACTCCAACGCCCGCGCCCACGCCCACTCCACCAACAACGCCCGCGCCCGCGCACTTGCCCTCGCCCTCGCCGGAGAGGAAGAAGACGCTAGGGTTCTAGCGAGGCAAGGCATCTTCTTCTTCCCCATCTCCTGCGGCGAGGTCGAGTGCTGCCTCTCTTCCCCGGCCTTGGTTCCGTCATGGCACGGTGTGGCTTTACAATGGTCATGGTAGTTCACCTTGATACCCATGTGTATCCATAGGCTTACCCATGTGGCTGCACTCCACATGAAGTCTTGGTTCCATCGTAGCACCGAAGGAGATATAATCACATTATTGTATAGCATGCCATTGAGGAGCACCTTATCGCAGTAGGGTTTTAGAGAAAAGGCTAGGACCAAAGCATTCCACTATATATAAGGTAAAAAAGTAAAGTAGATGGCAATCACACCTTACACCGTTGAACATCATTCTCGAGACAGCTCCATGGCCCTGAGTTGCAACCTGGTAACTCCTATTGCTGTCTTAAGGGCATGTTTAGCTGCCAGCTACACGCTACCACAGTCCCTGTTCGGTTTGCTGAATTTTGGCTAAAAAACACTGTTCTGGCTGAATTGTTGTGGGAAAAAAATACTATTTTGGCTAAAAAAAAACAAGCCCAATATGAATAAGCCGAACTCTGCGGCCCCTAAAGCGCGGCGTTAAAAATTGACGCCGCAGATGTGGCATGGTTTTAAACTGAAAAAGTAATGGTTGTCGCACCCGATGACCTGAAGATAACCAAATAGCAGCTTTTCATTCACGGCACGCCGCAGGTTAGGCATGGCCGCGCACGGGGAACCAAACTGCTGTTGGTTCACTTCATGTGAAGACAATGACTGCAGTCTGCCGATCCTAAAAGCTGAGTGAGAAAGAGTGAAGAAAAGTAGTCACAGTAGTTCAAGCCTTATTTACTTCATCCTCTAAAATTTACTTCCTATCACATTGAATATTTAGACACATGTATAGAGTATTAAATATAGATTAAAAATAACTAATTGCATAGATTGTTACTAATTTATGAGACGAATCTTTTAAGCCTAATTAGTCCATGATTTGATAATGTGGTGCTATAGTAAACATATACTAATGCCGGATTAATTAGGCTTAATAAATTCATCTCGTTGATTACTGATGTTTTCTGTAATTTATTTTATTATTGTTATTTGAACACTCTCATGTGACACACCGATATAACACTTGACGTGATATCCCTAAATTTTACTCCCTTATTTAAACAAATTAAGTTAGATGTGTGACAAAGAATCAGTTGATCTTGTCCGGACAGAGATGTGCCTTCGATTTAGGGATATGATGCTTGGCAGGAAAATCCCTGCCCTGCCAGCGCTTAGGTAGCTTTTCAGCGTGGCCATGATTCCTCCTGTCGTCTGAATCTCCAGCAACCCGTGACTATGACATGTTTAGCACTAAAGTTTAAGAGTGTCACCTTAGATATCATATAGAAATGTTGGAGTATGAGAGTATGAGTATATTAGGCCCATGAGGCTCATGTATGACTAATATATATTGCTACCCTTCTAGGGTTAGCCTAGCAATGGATTCTCACAACTCTAGCAAGAAATATCATAAAGTGTTCAGATAATAATAATAAAACAAATTACAGAAGTTTAGGAATGAGAAGCAAACACAACCTATGGTCATGTTTGCTTGTCTTATAATCCGTATTTTTCAGCTTATTTTTTCAACCAAAACATTATTTTTCTCTCACAACAAATCAACCGAAATAGTATTTTGATTTATTTTTTCAGCGAACGGAACGGAACCTGTGTCCTTAAGAAGAATGAAATAGGACATCCCATCGTGATCCATTAAACTACTATGAACAGAGACGCTACAGATCACATACGTACATTATTATTAATAGGATCGTCATCCCACGGTGGTCACATCACAAGGCCAAATTATTAAGGAGGGACTAACAACTATTCTGAAAAACAGTACAGTATAACGAAGCAAAAGCTCAAAAAGTAGAATTGCCAAGAAATCAGCTAAAATTGACACCACTCTTCTTTTTTTACCCCTGTCCAAGAGCTCAGATTTTGGCAGCGAACTCGATCCCCTCCTCCTTGAGCACCTGGACGTCGGCCACCGGCGGCTGCGCCCTGGCGACCCTGGCGATTGCCTGGTTCTCCTCCGCCGACCCGCCCTCGAGGAACACGCCGACGACCTTGCCGTCCTTCACCCAATAGCTGCCGAACTTGGGCTTGGCCGAGGCCGGGTCGTTGTCGCCGAACAGCACGTCGTCGCCGACGTTGTCGCCGTAGAACTGCCACGCCACGTCGAACGACCGGGAGTAGAAGTAGGGCAGGTAGTCGTACTCAGCCACCGACTCGCCGGACTCCTTCGCCTTGATCGCCCTCACGGCCTGCTCGGCCGACTTCCGGGCGTGGTCCACGTGCTCCACCCTCCTCTGCTCGTTGTAGAGCTTCAGAGGGAAGGTGGCCACGTCGCCGATGGCGTATACTCCGGCAACACTTGTTTCGAAGAATGCATCGGTCTGACAAAACAAAAATGTTAGCACAATATCAGGCAGGCCACATACTAAGACGCTCATCGAGATGTGGACTTTTAAAAAGAAAGAGATTTGGACAATTCTGCAATAGTATGGCCAACGTTGAATTGAATAAAGAAAAGCAAGAATTGAACTGACCTTGAGTCCACCTTTCTCCTCATCAAGTTGGCCTTTGAAGAGACCCGTCAATGGCCTGCCGCCGACGCCAACAATAACAATATCAGCGTCCAGAACACTTCCATTCTTCAACTTCACTTTGGTGACCTGGCATTCATTAGGGTGAATGTTAACATTCAGAGCACACATCGCGAAACTGAATCTGGAGAGTGTTCAGTGCTCACATCTCCGTTGGCATCAGCGTCGAAACCAACAGCAACCGTGCCCTTCACAATCTTGATTCCTTTGTTAGTGTAGTAGCCCTCATAGAAATGAGCAATACCAGCAGTGAAGAGACGGGGCACTACAAGAGATCGAGTTCAAGATGTAAAGAAAAAGTCAGTTATTGTTTCAGATTAATTCCAGAGAATGGAACATGCGTGATAAGCTTTCAGGTTAACGGGACTTACTGCACCAGGGTTCAGGGTACACCATAGTCACATCAAAGTTGTTGACTTTCAAGGCTGCGCTAAGCTCAAGCCCTATGTAACCACCTCCAACAATCACAGCCTTTCCATCCTTCTTTGCTTTCATAGCTGCAACCAACTTGTCAGCATCTGCAATATCCCTTAGATACAAAATGTTGTTGGATTCTGCTCCTTGAACACCAAAATCAGTGAGCTTTATGACCTGAACACAAAGGCAGAATACATCATGAGTAACCCAGGTAACAAGTTCCCATTGGAAATTTGAGTAAAAGGCAATCTCCTATGCTTTAGGAGGACAATTGCAGTGAGAACTAACCGAGGAGCCAGTAGCAATGAGCAAGGTCTCATATGTAAAGGTTTCCCCAGATGCACTGGTCAGAGTCTTTGAGGCAAGGTCAGCCTTCACAATCTCAGTGCTCAGGATCAGTTCAATGCCTGAAAACAAACATAATCAGCTCATGATCAGAACTGTGAAAACGTAATGCCTTTTACAGATGTTTGTTCAAGCTGTCAGATAGACTACTCCAGAGGCCAGAGGCTAGACTTGGAGACGGAGTGTTATGTTGGCTGCTAAGTTAAGTAATGTGGCATGCTATATTCAGGACCCCCAAACACAAAATAAATAAAGAACACTTGATCCTGGAGATGAACATTTCCCCAGTTAAGCAGGCACAATTCAACATGCATTTTAAATCTGTCATAGTTGCAGCTGAGTGCAAAACTCATTATTTTTATCAGAATAGTCATAGTTAGTACTATCCCGATGATGGAACTACAAGTGCAGGGATATTGATCAATTTGAGTGTAAAAGAAAAAATATATCAAAATACCTGTGCAAATATGAAATATTCAATAACTAGTACTATTCCAGTAACAGACTACAAGTGCAGGGATATTGATCAATTGAGGAACATCATTAGTGGAGGAGTAAAGGAGATTGATTACCTTTCTCAGAGTACCATTCAGGAAGTAGCCTCTCTCCACCGTTGCCAACACACGTGTGGAAGCCTGGCAGTCTTGCGGCGTCTGTTGACAGAACATGGAAGCCTCGGGTATCAGTACGAAATCATGCGTGCGAAGTATCATCGGACAGCAGCGATGGGGGAAGTTTGACTTACTCTGAGGGAAGAGGTATCCCTTGCTGAGTGCAGGGCGCTCATAAGGGGCCACCTGAAAGATGAAGGATCAAGTTAAGCCAGAGGCATCGCCACAAAATAATCAGCTGCAGAACAGTTATAGCGATTAAAAGTAGCAGCATTTCGGTAAAGGATAGGGTATCCGATTCGATATTCTTGTCTATCTGCTTGTTGAGTTGGTCTGAACCCGGCCATGTTCGCTTGTCTTATAATCCGTACTTTTTAGCTTGTTTTTTCAGTCGGAACAGTATTTTTCTCTCGCGGCAAATCAGTCAGAAGAACGGTGTTTTCTCCCACGGCAAATCGATCAAAACAGTGTTCTGTTTTTTCAGCGAAACGAACGAGGCCGAAATATCGCTGGTTTGCCAGAGACAACGATCCCCAAAAACAAATGATCCTGAGGATTGGCATATGATACTCCTATTTCAGAGTCCAATTCGGTCTGTTAGGGAAACGAACGAAATTGGGAAAAAATCCTTGCATGGTGGCCATTATTTGGGGAAAAAACGGGGGCAGCTTCCCCAATTTAATCACCAAATTTCAGGCGGGAGACTGAAGAATCAGTGCACGGAAATTCAGGGTCTTAACTAGTTCGATCTCAGGATTGGGGAAACAAAAAAAAAGATCGGGGGTAACTAGGTAGGGTAGATGGGTAAATGAAACAGCGAGCCAATTGAATTTAATTTGGAACGGGTGGAGTGCTGGAGGCACAAGTAACGTGAGAGCCCAAATGGAAGCGCACGGCACGGACGAGGATTGTGATTGATTACTACGCGTATTATACAAGAAACAAAGAAAAGCAATGGGGAACTTGAATTGAATCATGGAGGAATGAGGACGCGCATACGTACCGGTTCCTTGGAGATGATGGCGAGCTCGCCCGGGTTGACGCCCTGCTTGGCGAACTCCCTCGCCGCGTACCCCTGCGCGCAGGCACCCTCGATGTCAGCTCAGGCGGCCGGTGATCGGCGGCGACGCACGAATCGAATTGAAAGCGCGCATGGAGAGGGAGAGGGGGAGAGGGCAGAGGGCAGAGGGTGCACGCGTGGACGTACCGCCGCGACGCCGCCGCCGAGGGTGACGTACTTGAAGTGCCTGGCCATCCCCCACGATCAGGCAGGCAGGCAGGCAGCGAGGAGAAACGAGACGATCGCGAACCAAGGAGGCCGACCGACGGAAACGGTCCTCGCGGTGCAGACGGAGGAGACGATCGACGGGTGGAAGCGGAAATGGAATGGAATGGAACGGAAGGACGAGGCGGAGACCGCGTTCGTTGCCTCACTTTTTATACACGCTGCCTGCCTCCCCCGTGCTTCGCGGAAAAAGAAAGAAGGGCCGCAGCCAGCGGGGGCCCTCCCTTTCCTTCCCGATTGGCCGCTTATTCCCGACTCCCCGCTGGCGTTTCGCACTAATGCAGGCGCCACCGCCACGTGGCCCGGTGCCCGGACGAACGACGTCGCGTTGCGTGTGCCTCCGCGGCAGCAACGCACGAGCAGACACCCAGACCTGACACCTCCATGATCCCGTCCCGGCGGCTTTTCTCTTTGACCCGTCGACGAATTGATCGCGTCAGCATCTTTGACTCCCAGACCGCTCACACTTGACTTGGCTGATTGCATACCTCACTGATGACGTCGGGACGCCACGAAAGTGACTGACTGAGTGGTGCCGATGCAACGATACTCTTTTTATGACTGAGTAACTGCGTATATACGATGATAAAATAATCATAATCACTCAGCAACCGCTGTTGTCTACGTACTCCTAAGTAGCTTTGTCTACGTACTCCTAAGTAGCTCTGCACCTTACGTGGTTTGCGGAAATGTATCTACGTAGTACAATAGAACATTCCCGAATCATCTTTGTTTGGATTGATTGCCGATACAGACAGGCCAAGTGGGAACACCAGCGATGCCCTCTCCCTTCTCCATAGTCCAGGTTCGCGGCATGATACACGGCGCACACCGCTGGACATTGGTGTAAACAAAGCCAGTCGCCACCCGGCAGACAGCGACGACCAACCAAAGATTCCTCCCCGGCTTACCAGTTTACATTTGCTGATGACGTACAAGTTGGGGGAAGATCAGGTCAGCCCCAAGACTAGTCAATGTCTACGACGTTGCCCGGTGGGCCCCCACGGTTGCCAACAGGCACCGCCCATAGAATTTTTTCCCAAAAATAGTCCACTAGACGACAACTCTGATGGGTAGACGCCACCAATGGTCCAATCAGAATAGAAACGCAAAGAACCAGAAATAGTTCATTGGGCTGACTAACTTGCCTTCTATAATCTAGCTTTTACAAGTCAGCTTCCACAATCTATCTATGAGGTATCCAAACATGACCCAAGAGTATAAATTTGTATACGACAACGATGCATACTTTCCAGCGACTCAAAATGAATATATGATTATACATTGGACAACTGGGCACATCTTCCTCGCACCATTCTCAAAAATTAAACGGCCAGCGTGTGTTTACTCTCTTTTTTTTTCATTTCAACATGCAAGATTAACCCAACGTTACAAAACTACAGCCATCTACCCCACGATTCTGGAATCAAAAGCTAAACCTAAAATTCCTCAGGTACCATCGATCCTGAAAATTGCAAGGTTCCAATACGGCGTCAACAGCAGCGGAAGGTTAGTGCTCAATTCATCACCACAGCAGATAGCTGATCTCTAAGACTCCAGCACATTGTCTTCCACAGGTTAGCAATATGTCCAACCAAGGAGCGCAGGTACAATGTCTGAACCCTGCGCAAGGCACAAGACATTAGACAATGACAACAGCCTATAAAATACAATTAATAGCACATGATTACAGTAGTTCACAAGGGGAAGAAATGCAAAAGAAACGTCAATTCAACTAAAGCATCTACAACAGAATGTATTAGGGCCAATATACGGTTGACGTGATATATCAGAAATGTAAGCTCAACACAACCAAATTTCCAGTTTTATTAAAGGAACACAAGGAAAATAGAAGAAACTGACCAACTGATCAGGTAGGAGCTTATGTCTTGGGAACTGTAACATTCAAGATCTTTACATCTTGATATGGTTTGTCATTCTTGTCAGTCTTGACCTTCTCAATTTGCTTCAAGCACAAAACATAAAGTTAGGAGGAATAAAAAAGGAAATGCAGGGGCACAAGTCTGCCACTAAAATGAAGTTGCAAACGCTGAATACCTGGACAACATCCATCCCTTTCACAACTCTACCAAACACTGTGTGTTTGTTATCTAGCCATGGAGTTGCCACAGTGGTGATAAAGAATTGAGAACCATTGGTATTAGGCCCCGCATTGGCCATGGAAAGTGTAAAAGGCCTATCATGCCTCAAGCTGCACAAAAAGCACTAGCAACATCACCAAACTATAAGGGATGTCATAAGTAACCATATTAAAAAAATAGCGCATAGTGCTATCATGGAAAAACAAGGGTTTGGTACTTCCCTTTCTTGAGGGCAAAGCCAGTGGGTCATTTTTATTATTATTACTATTATTATCATTACAAACATACCAGAACCAGAGTAATAATATCACTAAGGGCGCCTAGCTCAAACGGTTAGGTGACCCAGCGGCACTCCTCAGGTCCTGGGTTCGACTCCCCGTGGGAGCGAATTTCAGGCTGAGGTTAAAAAAATCCCCTCGTCCGTCCCCATAACCAAAGCACTGGGGGGGGCACCGGCCCAATTCTCACTTGGGCGACGGAAAGCCACCGTGTAAGGGTGGGGGCGGGGGTTCGGGGGTTTTCTCGGCAGGGTGAGAAGGTCCTTCTTCTTATTTGAAATGCTGCGGGGGCAGTCTTAACCCCCCCGTTCGAGTTTTTTTTTTAATATCACTAAGGACAGTTGCATTAAGTTCTCTGAACATATATCCCACTAATATATTTTCAACCTTATATAGGTCTGCCACATCAAAATGGCACGAACAGAACAGGGTTAAGTATATTTGCATGATATTGCACTATCTCCTTTTCTAAAACAAAATACCAGATTAAACTTGTCAAAGTTGTATCTTGGAAACAGTCAAAGCAAAAATGGATTCATGTGTTCTAGTTAAAGGCGGGAAGAAAAAAGAAATTCTATGATTAAAGAACTTATAGAACTCCTATTTGTAACTCATATGGGAAAAAATAAGCATACCTCTTGTGAAATTCATCTTCAAATTCAGTGCCCCAGATTGATTGCCCACCAGTGCCATCCCCCAAAGGATCTCCAGTCTGAATCATGAATCCTTTAATCACACGGTGAAATATAAGATTGTCATAATAACCGTTCCGGCAATGGGTGGTGAAGTTTTCCACAGTTTTTGGACACTCTTCTGGATATAGTCTCAAGTGAATGTCACCCATAGAAGTGTGTAGCACCTGAAATACGATGACGGATTTGTTAAGAAATTTCAGCCCCTCACAAGTTACAACACCAGAAAAAAAAACAACTCGGTTATCAAAGTTACATTCAAAGAGCAACATACCAAATTATCAGGCAATGATGTTGTAGCAGTTTTGCCTAGGTCTGATACAGACAAAAGCTCTTCTGGAGGTGGTTTTTCATTGAAAACATCTCTACCCTTAGTTGCATCTTCAGGCTCTTCCGGTTCCCTACGACTGGTAAAACAAAAGAATAACCGTGTTACATAAGAAACAAGGTATATGATAACTTTTTGAAGAGGAATTCACCATGCAAAATAACTTTTTGAAGAGGAATTCACCATGCAAAATCATAAACCAGCATGCAAAATCATAAACCAGCCAATGAAGGAACTCTCCAGATATGATTGAATGGCATACCTAAAGAGATATATACGATGCTTCTTGAAAGCACAACAAAGCAGTGTTGGATCTGATAAGGGTTCCTTGCTATCATTGACATTGGCAGCTACTGAAGGTATTTTTCTAACCTTCTTGTTGCCTTTGTCTCCTTGGTATAGTGCAATTCTCAGAAACCTCTCATTGTTCTCTACCTTCCCCAGGATGCAGGAAACCTTATTTGTGTGCAAATTTACAATCTGCACACGTATGACAAAGCTAATAAGTTTTACAGAAAAGTTTTAATAGCAATATGACCCATATACACAATCAGGCAATCGGCAAAAAGCAGGGAATGGTCTAACATCCATTTACACAATCAACAAATCAAGAGGAGAAACATGAAAGAGCCCCATAGTGACACACAAGGAACTAAGACAAAGCATGAGTCATTTTGTATTTGTTTGGGCTAATGGACTATGGACTTCCAGACTAACTACTAAGCCCTCAGTGCCATAATCTTCTAGTAAAACCATAAAATTTGAGCACCAATCGACCCACAAAGATGTAAAGATCTTACAGCATTATGGGAAATTATGGGAAAAAGAAAGAAAGTGCAGCATACCTTTACACCCAAAAGGGTAGCGTAAATAAGAAAATTGCAGCTCTCATCAAAGACAGCATTAGGTTGTGGAACATTTTCTGTTTTCTCTATTTCCTTCTCCACAGCCATTCGTCGTCCAAAATCAAAAGCCTCAAGGTGATACAATGGAACATCACTTCTTTGAAGATCTTGTGCCACCTAGAAATGACAATATTCATCAACTAAAAATAAGAATGCAATATGATAACCTGTGCTCTTAAATATTTGCCAGGGGAAAGTTTCTTACCTCTAGGGACTCGTCATATACACGTCTTAATTTCCCAGTTTTGAACCAAAATACCCGTATCCTGCGATCAGGGGATGTGACAGCAAATTGAGTGCCATCATTGCTTACCTGAATAGCACCCGATCATTTAGTGGAGTCATTCAATGCATAATATGAAGGATAATACTGGCCATAGCCCATAATTTTGAAGTGTCAGATTGACAACACATTAGGCATGGTTTATTGTGTCCAATTATTTACTTTAATGTCATTTCTCAGGTAATCATATACATATTTCAGAATGAAGAACCCAAATCCACAAATTCAGATAGCGTTATCTAACTGCTGTGCCAATAAAAAAGAAAAGGAAAAAGCATGTTGCATAGCAGTACAATGTCATTGAGTATAACCTTATGGTTCTGCAAAGCATTCAAGCCCATTCCCACTCAGTAGTATGCCTACTTAATCTATTACTAATAAAGAAACAAGATATGGAAATCAATCTAGGACTAAGAAAGTACCTCAATTGCAGACACACTTGTCTTGCATTTCGCAATTTCAAATAGATTTGTATCTGATTTCAGGCGAAACCTCACCCTGCACCAAAACAAGCAGCAATGTTGATTGAGTTGATGAATTAGTCAAGCGGAATAATTGTGGATGCCACAAAGGGACATCACAGGAATATGCAGACAGAGTGATATGATTGAATAAAAATCTAACCCAGAAACAACTAGGTAGGTTATTATCAAGCAAGGAATTCATAAGAAACAGGACTAAAACTGAGATATTAATTATGCTATTCCTTGAACAGTTGCATGTCACTAATAAATATAATAACACCCAATCAGATTTCAATGAGATGAACGTATACTGGTATGTTGTTCCAGTTATGAAGTTTTGAGTAGAAGTAGTGAACAATGCAGCATTTTTCAGCACTCAGCACCATTGGAGAGTGTTTTCATGAAATTAAATGTAAGCTACATAAGACAAGAAATAGCTGGAAACGAGCAATAACGTACTCATTTTCTGGAAACTTGAGGGTAGATGGAGACCAGTATTCCAACAGTCCCTTGGCATCAGCAGATATAACAACATCATGAATGTGGTTATATTTCATAACTTGGACAGGGCCACCATGAATCTGCAATTAAAGAAGCAGCTCATGGAGTAAGCATCCTATTGCAATTAACAGAAACTATACAAACAAGATCAAAAGGAACAGAAGAATACCTCTTTGGACATGATTGGGTCATTTGAACCAGAATGGGTGTCAAATATGTGAACAAAAGGTGTATTCCGGTCACTAACGGCAAGTTTTGGTTTAACATCTCCTTCTCGATGAACCCACTCAATAGCCCCAGGAACAAATGAGAGACGCATCATGAACATCATGTCATAGTTTACAACATCATATATCTTCACAGACCGATCGTTGGATATTGTGCAGCAAAGCAATCCATCAACACTCACCTGCATTACAGAATCATGCTATAATTTGCAGTCATTCATACTACCGATAACACTCTACGAATAACACAGGTAGGAGCAATGGCAAGAGCATGCAAGCCAAAGAATATTCTATGCATCATAAGGTAAGTATGTGTGCACTCACAGCTAGACCTTCGATGGGACTGAGATGAGACCGAAAATGTTTAGCAAATTCAATCCCAACAGGTTTCTTCTTCCAAAACTTCAGATGCCCTGAAACAGAAGAAAATAAAGCCAATTAAGCTCCCATCTCTGAGACTGCATCAAATAGTGTTCCCTTTAATAAGCTCAATAAAATGAATTCCTGCATAGATCTAAGCTCTCAAGTAGTGTTGTTCACCAAGACTAAGTCATGATACTCCACAGACTCTAAGCCCTAAATTTGAATTCAGCAATCACAGAATAGAATATTTTGCTATTTGCGATTTGCACATATTTTCCAGAAAAAATCAACAGAACTAATTAACTCATACAACATGAAAACACACGAAATAAGACATGATACTCAGATACTGAGATGGGTATCAGAGAGATCACCATCTGCACTCCCAGTGATGAAGAAGTCAGCAGGAGAAACAGCGACGTGCGTGACGACATCCCGATGCATATAGCTCTTCTCGTACCTGCGAAACAAAACACCTTAGTTAACCAGCTCTCATCGACGGGCGCCACCAAATCCTGACCCCAAATGGCGAGGAGGGTGGAGAGGGCGTACATGGCGGCGGAGGGGAGGGCGTGGAGGAACGCCTGCTCGAACTGGAGCGGACGCTTCTGCCGCTGCTTCGCCGGCGCAGGGCCCGGCCCGATCATCTCATCCTCCTCCTGCCCCACAGTAGGGGTAGCCGCCGCGCCATTGAGGTGCTCCCGCTTGCTCTCGTGCGCACCACCGTCGTCCACAGCCGTGCTCGTTATGGTGGACTGCTCTGTCGTCTCGCTGGCCGACGCCATCGCGGGCTCGTGCTCGAGAGCTCTGCTAGGGTTCTGGGGATTTGGGGGACGGGACAGGGGACGACTGCGCGAGCTTCACGAGTGATTCGTCACGGTGGGAGAAGTTGCGGGGCTTTTTGGCAAAAAAAAAAGGCTGCGCGCGGCCGCCCACCGCCTCCATGCATTGGTCTCTCTGGCATTTTGTTAGCGAAAGCCCATCAGGCCCATCTTATCGCGGCCCAAGCCCAAACACGAACTAGTTAAAACCCTAGCGTTTACGCACAAACCCATCGCCGTCCTCCCCGTTGTGCCACGCTTCGGAGCTATTCTCGTACGCTTCCCCCACTGCGGCGACCTCAATCCCTGCCTCCCTCTTCAGCAATCAGCACATCACCTAAGCGCAACCAAATGCTCTCCGCCACCATCGCCGCGCACCCCGCCGCCGCCACAGCGCTGCGGCGAAGGTACCCGCTTCGCCCTCGCCAGCCACTCTGCGCTCCAATCGGCACGGCGGCGAAGAGGCAGTGGATGGCGACGGCGAGGCTCTCGGTCACAAACGCACTCGCTAACCTATCCGTTGAGAGCGCCCCCGCGGCGCCTCCCAAGCTCTCGTTCCCGATACTGGTAAGGAAGTTTGGCTTGGCTCAACGTCGGTTGTGTATTGAGGTTTCTATTATGTTAAGTTTAACTGTTTAAGTATACCAATCTGGTGTTGGGATTGGAGAGGAGGACAAATGGTAAAATGGATGAACAAGTGATGACTGTTGGTGTTTTTCATTGCATTATTAGGGGATGATTTATTCTTCAAAAAAAATAGTGGACGATTTGCTTTATTAAGGCAATATAAGACATACTAACTGCCTGTTCAGAAAAAAAAAAGCTTCATGTATTTCAGCATACTGATGGAGTAGCGGAGAGGCAATGGTAGTTTGATTTTTTGTATGTGGACTTGATATGAATCAAATTTTAGGTGTCTATTGAGCTTTCAGCATTTCAGCACCATACACTGTGAGGCAATGTTGTCAATGAACTGATATAAGCAATATTAACTGTACATAGGTGATTGAAGTCTGTTTAGAGCAATTAGGCAAATATACTATACTTTTATAATGAACCATGCGTACTTTGCTTCATGGAAATTAGTTGCATGTGGAACTCTTCAGATGATTGGTACTTCATCTGTTCCAAATTCTAGGTTGTTTTAGCTTTGTCCTTAGTCAAACTTCTCTAGTTTTGATCAAGTTTATAGAAAAATACACAAACATCTACAACATTGATTCATTAGGTACACAATGAAATATATTTTGATAGTGCATTTATTCGATATTGCAGATGTTAATATATTTTCCTTAAACTTTGCCAAAGTTAGGCAAGTTTGACTTAGGACAAACCTAAAATGACTTACTGAAACAGATGGATTACTATTTATATAAGAAATTTGATTATTTCCGTAGCCTCGGTTATTTGCCCATTGGTAAGTATCTTCCATAATTTTTTCAGTCTGGCCATTGGCGGTGAGTCTGTCAATTTCTGAAATATTAAAGAAAAATTGAGCAAAAAGGTTCGTCCTTTGTTTGTGTATCGTGGCTGGTGCTTCTAAGTTCCATGAACTCCTACTTAGGTGGCTTGCCCCAGATGCTTAGCATTGGGTGCTAGTCTGGTCGTCTTTCTAATTTTTCCCTTGTCGTGCCTGCGTCATTGAAACCTAAATGTGTGTGTGGTGTGTGTTTGGGTGGGGCTGTTTTAGCCTCACCCTGTTTGTACCTCTTTTCTCCCTTAATGAAATGACATGCACCTCTCGCGTCATTCGAGGAGAAAAAAAGGTCATACTTGGATGATACTTTCTCCATTCCAAAATGTTGCTACTGGCATAGCTACATTAGGGCCATCCTGGGCTCTTGCTCCCCTTTGCCTGAATATACGCCTGCTGAAAGTCTGCATGGCGCTGCATGCATGCTGAAATCCACTCCTCGCTGTCCCATATAGCCTATGAACTCTTTATGGCTCTCTTTGTTCAAACAAGTACTATACGCACACGTGCCACGCATCATCTCATGTTGAAGTTGTTTGCTTGTCTCCCTCACAGACAAGGCAACACGGCACACAATAATAATAGCTAGCATTAGCAGCCGCTCATGCAACCTCGTTATCCTGCACTTGCTAGCAGCCGCACATGCTGAGTGGATCGCAACTCACAAGTATACTAATCTGCCACCGGCTATTGATTTGCCCAGTCTACTTTGATGTGCTTATTGTTTCTTGCGCTAGTTGTTGTTGTTCATTGCAGTCAGTTTAGTTTTACATAGAACTAGTACATTGAGTAAAGCACAGATGAATTGCTAGTGCATTGATGCACAGTGGTAAAGCAAATTGAAGGGGATTGTGCTTCCCTTGTGGGTGCATAGACTTAGGCCATACAGGGTGCATACATGGTGGAATTTTGATCATAATCACTGTTTTTACACTTTTGAAGAGGTGGATTTGCACCCTCTAAATGCTAATAAATTGCTTTGCGTTGATGCATGTGTGTTACTATGTTGTCGGAATTATATTTCACTTACTACAGCTCCATTTATTTGTGCAGGTGAATAGTTGCACTGGAAAAATGGGAAAGGCTGTTGCTGAAGCAGCTGTCTCGGCTGGTCTTCAGTTAGTTCCTGTATCATTCAGTGCCATGGAGGTCCCTGATGGAAAGATTGAAGTATGTGATAGAGAAATTTGTATTCACAACCCATCTGAAAGTGAAAAAATTCTCCCTTCCATTGTTAAGGAGTACCCAGATCTCATAGTTGTCGATTACACTGTGCCTGATGCTGTTAATGGTAAGTGTATTAGTAATTCCTATTGAAATTTATGTGTCTTTTCTTCTTTGTTAACATGCTCTGAAGAATTTTTTTTCTTCCATAGTGAATTCTGGATTACTTATGCTTATTACATTACCATTAGAAAAAGGGAACTGGTTCACTCAATCTGATATTTCCTGCCCATTTCTGATTTTGTGAATGAATATCCATGAGAAGTCTAATTTGTACTAATTAAGTAGTTTGTTAAATGATTTTTGAAAATGAATGAGGATCCAGGGATCTTATTATTGTTCTGTTGTTATTGCCTATATTATATTGCCATTGTGTAATAGAGAACGTGATTATCGAGTTAAAAAATTGCTTTCCTTTAGTGATACTACATAAAATAAGCACCTTGCTAGAAAACAAAATCTCGTTTTCTTTCATCTTATCTCAGGCTGCTCAAATTTAGGAGTATACATATATACTTATTTGTTATGACCATGAAAACAAAAAAAATTATGCCTCAATGTTCTTTATTTTCATATTATTATTCACCATTCTTGGTGCTTTTGATGGTTTATTTGGTATGCAGCCAATGCTGAACTCTATTGCAAATTGGGTTTGCCATTTGTAATGGGCACAACTGGTGGAAATAGGCAACTGTTGCACAAAACTGTGCATGATGCGAATATCTATGCTGTGATATCCCCACAGATGGGGAAGCAGGTACAATTATTATCATCACGTGGATAACATTTGAACCTTTCTTGATGGTATGACTTCTTGATCTTTTTAGGTTGTTGCTTTTCTTGCTGCCATGGAAATTATGTCAGAGCAATTTCCTGGTGCATTTTCAGGTTACAAACTGGAGGTATAGTTTGATCTCTGCCATAGAAAAATTAATGTTGCTATTTTTCCTTAGTTCTAATACTAAAGCTTGAAAATGTTTTTTTCTTCATTATGGGCACAGTAAATTTTTGCTAACACACAAGAGGATTACATATCATTTCATCAAGAAAGAAGAGAATACAAAGGGGAGTAGAACCCCCCCAAAAAAAAAAAAAAAAAAAAAAAACAGCACCTAAGACACACACCCCTAACGCAATTTATTTAAGTAAAAAAACCAAGCAGCAAGCCTATTCCAGTTGTAAGCGGACATCAACCACAAACCAGCGGCTCTAGCCTGCTTGAAACGACCTGGCAAACATCTGCTGGAGACCTTTTGCTCTAACAGCACACCATAGGATACACTCTTTAGTGACTGCTTGCAGCACCATTGTGACATTTGGTTTTGCCATTGAAGACAATCGTTCCGATGCTTCCAAATTTCCCAAGCCACAATGATAATAAGTGAATTAAACCCCTTCCTTGTCTCCTTGAATAATGATGATTATTGTCCCAAAAGCATCATGTTATCTGTCTTCAGAAAATTATTTTATGTTGAATTGGCACACCTCCACAGGTCATGGAGTCTCATCAAGCAACAAAATTGGACATTTCTGGGACTGCCAAGGCTGTTATCTCTTTCTTTCAGAAGTTGGGTGTATCGTTTGACATGAACGAGGTATTGCTTAAAAAATATTTACAGTCAATAAATTATCATGTTTTTTTTTCCTAACAATACTTGTGATGCTTCTCTAGGAAACAATACTCGTGCCAACGTCTTAATCTTGTTTTTCTACGTAGACTTTTCAAGTCACATGAATCTCCTAGGAAACAATACTCGCAGCAAGCCTAGTTTGTTTCTGCTTATAAACGGATTCTTCGTGAAAAAATGGGAGAAATCAAACGCCTCATTTATCCCTGCTTTTGCTGACTGGTGCTTCAGAACTTTGAACTAGCAAAACCGAGAATTGGGACTCGAAAAAAATCCCCACGGTACAGTGATTATAAACGAAGTGGGTCAATTATAAGCGGAAATAAACAGGGCCATTACGATTTAAATTTAATCCAGCTTGTTAATCTAGTAGGCTTAGGTTGAGTATCACCCCCATCCTCCAAATTACCTGTACCAGGCCTTTGTTGAGTGAGCTTCTCTGACTTCGTATTGTTTTGGTCTTCAGGTTTTGAATGCATCAATTCATAAACAGACAGTACTATGTGAAGATGTTCATTTGTTCTTTCTAATGCAGCATACCAAGCTTCGCTTACAGTGAAGAAATTTATGTTGCTTTAGCAAGTGTACTTTTCTCACACTTGTCTGCCTGTTGTTGTAGGTAAAGCAAGTTAGGGATCCTGAGGAGCAGGTAACCTTGGTAGGTGTCCCAGAAGAACATCTTGGGGGTCATGCCTTCCACATGTACCATCTCACATCACCTGATGGGACGTAGGTTTTCTTAACCCTTTTCTAGGCAATTTCTGTTTTTAAGGCCTTGCATAGGGCTATGAGCAGCTAATCACCCTTGCATTGCAGAGTTTCGTTTGAGTTTCAGCACAATGTATGTGGCCGTTCAATATACGCAGAAGGAACTGTTGATGCTGCTATGTTTCTCTACACAAAGGTGAGGATCTTCAACGCTTTGTTGTTTCACGATGGTCTGAGGTTTTTACCGGAGGCAGGTAGAAGTTGACTTTCCATGCTATCGCAGATAAAATCGGGGGCGAGCAAGAAATTGTATGACATGATTGATGTCTTGAGAGAAGGGAACATGAGATGAGATCCATGCTGGCGTCAGATGAGTGCTTATGTACCAATTTGCAAGCTCAATTCCAATGCGAATTAGGCTACTTTTCCAATGTACCCTTCCCAATGTACCAATTTTCGTGTTAGTCACTTGCAGTTTTGGATTGGCAGGTTCAATGGCAGAAAAAGTACCCGCTCAAGTCCCAAATTGATAATACATAGATTTTACTGTGCACCATGATATACGCTCTCTCTAGATCATAGTAAAAAAAAACTGTGTATCTAGGAAAGCCAAAACGAATTACAATTTGATATGGAGTGGGTAATGGTTAGGGACTTCCTGCTCTGAGTCACATCTAGCCAAGGATGTTTGCTCAGTTTTAGTAACTTTGTCACACCCGTGGCTGCTGGTGAGGTCAACCCAGGGACGGTTGCCTTTCTGACTTTTGGGACGACATACCATCTGATCTTCCACCTGGATCTCATAGTTGGTTGGCTCACCTGTCAGCTAAAGCACTTAAAGTTGACACCTTCTTCATCACGGATTACATTTCCACCTGTCAGCTAAAGCACTTAAACTTGTCCCCAAGCAACGACATGACATGCATAACCTTGAGCAGTTTTCTGGGCATCAGATTCCATGTTTAAAATCACTCCATCCTCTTCGCGGTCACAAAAATGAATGCTATGAATCTGAATCGTTCTTGTTAAGAAGGGAATGGACCAATGGAGAATGGTGATCACATCCACACCCATCGAAGCCACGGATCCTACCCACGGATTAGTGACTAGGATTAGTTTTTAACCATAGATATAATCCTATAGTTACTGTTCAACATGTAAAAACACCGAGTTCCTGAACCGACGCCTTCACGTCCTATTAGATTGTACTTAAACCAAATCAATCAAAATGTTAAGATCAGTTTATTCATTTCTTTCTTGTTGTCGATTACATATCCTCAAATATGTTATAAGCATGCTCTCAAGAAGATCGAGAAGGACAACCCCGTCCATAGAAATCGGAGGGATGTGCTCGTCCTCTCCAAATGCTGCTTCTTCCTTCGGCCACGCCTTCGTCTTCTTTCTTTCGGCTGTGAGCGCTCCGGCGGGGTGGACGGCCTCAGCCCCCGGCACGAGCTCTGCCCTGGCACGATCCGGTGAGCTCCACCCCGCCTTGACCTTGGACCTGGCGGGCGGACGGTTGCGGCGGGTGGCTGCAAGCTGCCGGACGAGAATGACGACAGACGAGGCGGCTAGGGCCAGGGACGGTGGTGCACGGGCCGAGGAAGAACTCAAATACAGAATAAGGAAGATGGGATCATTTCATCAGAAAAAAAATGAATCCGTTCAGTCTCTCCTTGTCCCAAACCGAACGCAACCTTACAAAGCATCTTCTCGACAGAAAGACTACGCCCACCGGCGACCGCCTTCATGACATGACTCGTTCTCGGTCGCGGTCGCGAGTTCTCCATCCGGCAGTCAGCGTGGAAACCCAGTTTAGGGTCGTGGAGAATAATCGCGATCGAAGCCTGGGAGGGTGACAATGTGAAAACACTTGCGAGTAGGAGTTGTTGCTACACAAAACGATAGCGGCCGGGCTGCACTGAAGATGTGATATTCTGTTGCGGAAAAGGCCTAGTCTAGCGTGACCCAACCATGTACGAGCTTTCAGAACATTTTGGTGTGCCTAAGGCCGCCATTCCCAGCGAACATTTCATAGTTGTAAGCAACAAAGTATTTGGTTAATTGATGGTTGAAGCAGGTCACGTAGTTTAGAGTTTTCCATTAAATATCTGCTACATCTTTTTTTTTTAAAACAAACTTGCTAGCGCCCGGCCCCGCGCGCAAGAGAAGGAGCCCGCGCCACCTATTTTTTCACGTGCCTCACCACGTGGGCCTCCATGCCTGCGCTCATTTTCTCTATGCTCGCTCGGCGGCGCCCTAGCAGTGGGCCCGTGCTGCCCATACGTCACCCAACGGTTGCAGTAGGTGGCCGCGACAGGTGAGTCTTTATTACAACATGTGCAACACCATATCTACTTTTGCAACACCAAGGTGAAACACTTGCAACATACGTTCGAAAACAACTAAAACACTTGTAACATACGTCTAAAACACTTGAAAAGCCATTGCAAACATACGCAGCATCCTGATAAAATACTTGCAACGGACGTATGAAACACCTTAAAACACTTGAAACATACGCTTGCAACAAGCATGTATATGCAACATCCAGATGGAAACACTTACAACGTACGTCCGATACAGATAAAACGTTGGGAACATACACTTGAAACATACGTGTATAGCCATTGCAACATGTGCAACATCTCAATCTACTTTTATAACATCGATATAAAACACTTGCAACAACTCTTGAAACATACGTTTGCAACATGCTCTTTTAGCGCAAACACCCCCTTGCTGCTTCGGTGAATGGAGGCTCATCGGCGCGTGAAGGTCACCGGTGTGCTCGCCGGCAACGCAGAGCTAGGCGACAGTGCAGAGGGCGGGTGTGGGGGCGACACGGGTGGCAGTGCGCGCAGAGGACGGGTGGGTGGCGCGTGGAGGTCACTACTTTGCTCGCCGGCAACATACAAAGGGCCGGGTGGGGGCGGCGGTGGCACAGAGGCGGGTGGCGCATACGGATATGGGACGCTCTGGTTAGAGCATTTCCGTTAAAAAAAATGCTAGCACGACATTATTTATTTCCAACCACCTCAGCCAGAGATATGTCTGATGTTTCCAAGCATTGCTTAGTTCATGGAACGTGCATATGTCGTGGACAAGATATCTGTTCGTGCATCGCGAATTGCGTGTGGCGTCGATTTGGTCGACCAGTATCTTCCTTGCCAGCCGAACGCCCAAACACACATTTTCCTCAAAATAATGACAAACAATTATTATTAGAGATGGTGGGACAGAAATCAAATATAAAACTAAGGAGTTAGGGCGTCAAGCACATCGGGCCGGAATATTGATATGGCCGCTCTGTCAGCTGCCAGCATGCATGGCGTCGTCCAAAATTCACCTAGGGCTTATTCGGTTCCCTGGGAATGGATTCTAACATGAAATATTATGTTAGTTTATACAATCTTTGATCATCTGTGGTGGAATCAGGGCTAAACGAACCAGCCTGCTAGTAGCGCGGCAGGCTACGATACGACAGCTAAAAATGGAATATAATTTGGTCAAACTGCCGAACACTTTAACTAACAAATTACTTATTTGACTAAACCTGAAGATACCGGCGGGTGGTTCTGCCGTTAATTAAACCTCTGACTGCCACCTCCTTGCAAGCTCAGCCAACGACACACCCGCCGATTAAAACGCCGGCCTCTTCTCCTCTCCTCTCCTCGCCTCCCTCCACTGCATTCGCATTCGCATTCGCAGCAGATTCGCGCCCGCCCGCCGCAGCTGTCAATCGCTTTGCTCTGCGTCGCCATTGCTGTCCTGCTGTCCGAATCAAGAGGCGGCGGCGGCGAGCAATGAGGGAGCTGTCCTGCTTCGGCGACGGCCCCGTCAGCGTCGCGGCGGCGGCCGCCTCCGTCTCCGGCCGCGGCGCGCTCGACTGGGCGCTGCAGGCGGCCACCACCAGCGTGTACAGGGCGTTGCTGTCCTCGGGCAAGGAGATGCTCGTCCGGGTGACGTGGACCCGGAGCGCGCCCGGAGCGCCCGGCGTCGCGGTCGCCTTCGACGATGGCGGCGCCAACTCCTCCGACGCGCCGAAGACGTCGCCGCCGCCGGCGAGGACAAGGCCTGTCCTGCTGCTGTACAAGAGGCGAGGGAGCCGGTCGCTGGTCACCGGCGCCGGGACGGCCGTCGGCGTGCACTGGGACACCGCGGAGGCCAAGTACGCCTCGGGGTCGTCGTCCCCGGAGCCCGAACGCGACTACTGCCTCGCCGTCGTGGCCGACGCCGAGCTCGCGCTCCTCCTCGGCTCCGGCGGCGCGGCGCGCGAGCTCTCCCGCCGCCTCGGCCTCGCCCCGGGCGGCGCGCGCGCCGCGCTCCTCGTCAGCCGGCGCATGCAGCTGCGGTGCGCGGCGGCGGCGCACGTCACGCGCTGCAGGTTCCGGGAGGGCGGGGACGAGCACGAGGTGGCCGTGCACGCGTGCCGGGGCGGGGGCGAGGAGGAGCTGCGGGTCACCATCGACGGCGAGAAGGTGGCTGAGGTGCGGCGGGTGGGCTGGGGGTTCCGCGGCAACCGCACCGCCGTGCTGGCCAACGGGGAGGTGGTCGACGTCATGTGGGACGTGCACGACTGGTGGTTCGGTGGCCGGGGCGGCAGCGCGGGCTCGGGGGCGCAGTTCATGGTGAAGGCCAGGGCGGAGGAGGGCAGGCTGTGGATGGCCGACGACACGGCGGCCAGGGGGCAATCGCCAGGTGGCTTCTTCTTGCATGTGCAGTGCTACCGCCGGTGACGATTGATGGTGGCCGCAGTCGCCCGGTGACGATTGATGGTTGCAGTTGCAGTCTTTTGCTCCTTCAGATTGATGATGATTGGTGATCTAAGTGTAACAGTGGGTATAAAGAAAAGCAGTGCAAAGTTCAAACAAAGGGAAGAAATGTTCATACAGTTTTATGCAAAAAAAAAGTACTCTCTTTGTCCCAAAATATCTGTCGTTTTCGCTTCCCGAGAAACAACTTTAACAAAATATATATTAAAAATATTAATATTTATGGTACATAATTAGTATCATTAGAAAGATCTTTGAATCTAGTTTTTTAATAAATTTATTTGGAGATACAAATGTTACATGTATTTTCTATAAATTAAGTTAAACTTAGGGCACGGAAACCAAAAGCGACAGATAATTTGGGACAGAGGGAGTACGTTTCAAATGGGCATAAGCATGCTTTGTTGGTCATTCTGATTGTTTCTGATTATCTTGGTGGAAAAGAATGATGATGAGCATGTTTTTGTGTCACTTATCACATGACCAAGGATGGTGGTAGTGGTATATACAAACCAAACCAAGACCTAGGTACATGAATACCAACCAAATACTCCAGTTCTGCAGGGAGGCTACAGCCTTTGGTGTGTCTGAAAAAAAGATGTCTGAATGTAGAGATTTACATCGAGGTCACCCAGAAATGCCTGCATTGTCTGCAACGATACTATCAAGCAGGGACTCGCAAGCATCTTCCAATATATCCAACACCTGAAAGACCCAAAACATCACTTATTAAAAGAAGGATATCAAACACAGCTGCGCATCTCATGTAGATCTTGTGTAAGCATGGTCAGCAAATTTGTAGACATAATGCATGACTATAGCCAATATTATGGCAAAATGATTGTTACATCCAAGGGGCTTAGTAAGGTTATATCTCAGGCCTCAGCGTAGCTGTGGATTGGTGATCCAGTATCAGCTTGTCAACAAATGTATATCTAGGGTTGTAGACATTTTCATTTTCTGAGGTTTGTTAGTGCCATACTAGTTTGTTACCGACTTATTGTATCTCATGTTAGTTGCTCATGCAAACTGTGGGCATAATGTAGTTGTGCCCAGACCTGATTTGACAATTTGTATCAGAAGAAGACAAATTGCTTAAATCTCAGAGGTATAATCATAGTCAACAACTATATAAGTGAATGCTGGCATGTAATGATTATACAAGTCATGTAAAGTTCACACTAGTGCACAAATACTTGGCATTGGTGGAACTGAGCATATCTCAGGTCATCAGTCACTACAGTCTACATAATTGTTTATTTATATAGTTAAAGGTATGCCACACTCATGCACAAGCTATTTTAATTGGACAGGAACAAAAACCGAGTGATTAGTGGAGACAGGCCATGGCATTCATACTCGTTGGTCACTGGGATAAAATCTCAACTAATAAGATCGAGAACATGATTGCAAACTTTGTGCTAACAACTAACAAGTACATCATGCTACTAGCCTTTTCAAATCCCTGAGGGCCTCCATAATAAGGATCTGGGACTTCATACTCAGTATGTCGTTTGCAGTAGGAGCACATCAGCTTAACCTAATAAACACATGAGTACCAATTCAGTAAGTGTGAACTTTCAAGAATGAAGAAAACATATAAAAAAATGATGCCATCACATACCTTAAGTTGACAAAAAGTATCAATATTAGATTAGTAATTTCCCTACATAAAAAGGCTAACGGCAAGAATAAATGCTACATAAGGTCAAGCACAAGATACAAGATATGCTCTTTTAATTAAGTGAACAACTGACAAAAAAAACAATCACAATTTACTCTTTGCAGGTATCATAGTTTTCACCTATTGTAATGTTAAAATACATGAAGAAGGCTACACTATACCAGTCTACAGACAGTAAAACATAAGCAAAGAAAGTAAAATAGATGTTCAATTTAGTATCCACATCAGTTCACATGGCTCACTCTTGTTTCTGCTATAAAGGGAAAAGGACATGTCTAGAAAATTGAAATGACAAAATGCATATGGGATAAAAATTCTAGCTGGACAAGATTGCAAGAGACAAATTGAGATTAATAATCTACACGCTAACCTTATTGGGTGCATTCTCAGGGAGGGGCTCCTTGCGTCTCCATCTCTCAAACGAGTTCAATATATCTTCTGCATATTGTTCAAAACAGAAATGCTCCAATGCATCAAGCAGCATACAACAATAAAATTACAGAGATACTGGAACACAAATAACAGGGTCTGAGAGAGAACCATAGTTCTGCCTGTCCATTGCAAGGATAAGATCAAAATCACGAAAATCTGAGGGTCTGATAGGCCTGGATATTGAGGTGACCTCAATCCCCCGCTTCTTTGAAGCTGCTCTCATCCTTGAGTCTGCCTTATTACCCTAAACCCACGAAAAACCTCATTAGCACTGATGCCATCATTGATCTGAATAAATATACAAAAGAGCACAGTAAACATATGATACAACCTCATGATACCCAATGGTACCAGCAGAGTCTATGAGAAACTTGGAGTCAAGCCCACGCTTGTTTACGAGGGTCCGGAACACAGCTTCAGCCGCAGGACTCCGGCAAATATTTCCTGTACACATAATTTACATCAAATCGCTGAAGAACAGACAGATACAAATGCATCGATAACTCAGATACCTCCACGGTCCACACTGTAACGGGAAATCATCCAGGACATGGCATTCTGATGAGATTATCCACAACTGAACAAGCACCCAACTACCCAAGCATATGCAAAAAATAGTTGTAGCACCTACATAGTTGAATAATCAATACGCACAATCGCTAAGCATTAGATTGCTAGGATCAAGTCATCCGAAATTCTTAATCGCGCTGCAGGGTAAATTGATTTTTCATCAACAAGCCAAATCTCCAAACCTTCAGCCGATAAATTGTGAGAATAGTAGCTGAGGTGCTAAGATGGGAATACAAGGCTATGGCTACCGGCTATTTTCGATCAGATTCCAAGGAATACCCGAAGGCCATCAGACGACACAACAACGAGTGAGTTCAATACGCACGGACGCAAGGAAAACCGGGAATTGGTACCCGAATTGTTTGGCATGCACATGTACGGAGACGGAGCCGGAGGTGAGCAGAGACTAGGGTTGAGGGGACTGACCGAGGCACACGAAGAGGACAGCGAAGGGCTTCGCCTCGGCTGCCGACGCCGCATCCGCCGTGCTCGCCTCCGCAGCCATCCCCTCCGTCGCCGCCGCTGCCGAAGACGCGAATCGGAGGCGAGGGTTTCGAGCGTGGTGGGGACTGGCGACTAGAGGCGCGCCGCGGCAGCCGCTCACGCGCACGTGACGACGGGTTGCCGCAACGGGAACAAGTGGAGTAGCATTGCGGCACGACCTGCTAGTTAAAAGCGGGTCGCCTCGGCTTGTCGGATTCGGAACCAGCGTGGAGGAGGCCGCGGCCGCGGACGTGGACACGGAGCTGCTCGCCGACGCCGACGCGAGCGTGGGCGCAAGCGCAGCGGCTCCGGGCATGGCCAGCAGCGCCTTGGCGTGGGCTCGCGAGCAGCAGGCAGTGTGAGGCTCGCGAACGAGTGGCCAGCGCTCTCGGGCTGCACCGCAACCGCAAGAGAACGATCAGACAAGCGGTCGGGTCCCGGACGGCCGGACCCGAAGCGTTTTTCCTTTTTCCTCTCTCATTTCATTTCCTCGTTGATTGAAAAAAAAACCAGAATGAATATGTCTTCCAAGTACGCGAGGAACAGTTTGATGAGGAAGACAAATGCGAAGGGTGTTCTACTCGCACGTCTGACTGTACCTTGAACAAAGTTTTTTCTCAAAAAATAAGTTTTTTTAACACAATATTAAAGCAGATACAGATGTTTATATGCGTGTACACATTTACCACTGTAAACGTACACACACTTTACCCATCTTGGCGGTATGCAACTCAAAATCCAGACGCAAAAAACTGACAAATACTAAGATTTTTTTCCCATACGCTAGTTTTGTATAGATGAGTTACGGTCACTTCTCCAACTCCTGCGAGGTCGGCCGCAAAACACCCCCACCCCGACCTGCCCCAACTGCATCCACCGCCACCAGAACCCAAAGCCACCGCCCGCCCCTGTCCTCACCGCCTAGCCGCCCTACCTCCCACAAAACCCCTTCTATATATCCGCCAGAGTTGGAGAAAAAAGAGGGGGAGAGGCCGAAGAGGCCAGAGTTGAAGAAGAAGCTCGCCTAAGCGGCGCTCAGTTCACGGTGCAAACTGTAAAATCATGGACCAATCCATGCAGTTAAAACATAGGACAGCAAAACTTCAGGTGTTTTGTAGTGGCATGCCCTGATGCCCTGTCCAAGTACGCGTTTTCCACCTGCAATAGATCTATCCATATCGCATGATACATTTCAAATCACTGCACCATACTCATGCACTGTGTTTTCTGTTTTCATGATGTTGTATGTTGAAAGCACGGAACTGCAGATTATGATGTTTTCAGTGCACAATCCATGCAGTTAAAACATAGGACAGCAAAACTTCAGGTGTTTTGTAGTGGCATGCCCAGATGCCCTGTCCAAGTATGTGTTTTTCAACTGCAATAGATATATCCATATCCATGCACCACAGAATAACTGAATAAGCAAACACAAAATATTCGGGCAAGTGGGAACCAGACATACAATAGGAGTATTCAATAGCATAAGAATTTATCAACTCCCATAGCTGTTAAGTTAGAAGATTGCTGATAACATTGAAGCATTGCAAACCGAAAAAACGTGAAATGTACCCCTTGGCGAAATGCTTTTGCAGCTCAGCAGAGTAAAGAAAAGAAAACAATTTCTAGGCATAGAACCTAGCCCCAGTGGCAAAATTGTACATCACAAATTCATTATTTTCAATGCTCCTTAACGGCTCAACATATTTCAAATAAAAAAGGGTAATGGTAGTCCTCAGTTGACAACATCCAAGACCAGCTTACGGGACTTCAAGACTGACCACTTCATGCGGCGGTAGTAGGCAGCTTGGAGAAGCGCTAGTGATAGTAGGAAGATCCATTTCACTCCCATCTACAATGGATTTTGAGTTGGTTGTGATTAGGATATGGAGTAGCAAATTGAAAAGCAACAGAGCAACCTGAATGATTTAAGTCACGAGGTTGTTACCAGCTTTCTCTCTTCCATCTCAGGCTCAGCTGCCCATGAAAGGAATGATACGACATCCTTACCCATCTGTGAGGGAAATACGAGCGATCAAACTTTAGTCCTGCCCCACAATTCAAAAGTACAGAAATCAACAATGACAGTAGAAGTTTACCTGGGCTTCAGTTGCAGGAGTACCATCCTCATACTCAACAGCTCCATCATTAAGCATCTTGGGCATGGCTATGGCACCACCAGGGAAGTAGGGATTGTAGTGCAGACCCTCACGAATCTAGGATGCAAATCAACCAAAGTTTTTATGGTTGATTACAAGATAGTAAAAGGCATGGTTTCGAAGGAGACAAGGCAAACAAAGGCGTGCTGGGTATGCCTTATCACGTAGGCGACAAGGCGTAACTAGATCCCTTGCCTGGACTCTACGCCTAGGCGACACCTTTGAAACAGAGGTATAAGGCAAACACAAAATGCAAAAGAGTATGAAAGATAATACATCCTTTGTCAGAATCAAGAAATATTTTATTCAATATCTATAGGACACACAGTTGGACTAGATTCCAGAATCAAAGAATCATCCAAAGTATACATACAGATAAAACTAGTGATGTTGAGCTGAGCAAAGATTATTGCGTAACATTGCTCATAGAACATAAAGGATTGTGCACTGAAAACATCATAATCTGCAGTTCCGTGCTTTCAACATACAACATCATTAAAACAGAAAACACAGTGCATGAGTATGATGCAGTGATTTGAAATGTATCATGCGATATAAGTGATTGTATATCAAGGAGGATTTGAAATGTATCATGCGATATAAGTGATTGTATTAACCATTTTATAAACAGATACTGGAGAACACATCACAGAGCTGTAAAGCACACCAGATTGAAACAATAAATAAACAAGGAAAGTACCTGAACACCAGCAGGTGGATCATGATATCCAGTAAGAAGAGCGAAAACGTAGTTCTGACCATTGTGCCTTGCCTGAATGAATGCATTGTGAACAGTAAGACATATGCAATGAAATATCACACCATATCACTGCAAGAAATTTAGCTGCAATTACCTTTGTGATGAGACTAAGGTCCGGAGGGTATGCACCACCATTAGCAAACCGGGCTGCTTGCTCATTTGCATAAGGCTGTGGGAAGCGATCGCTCAGTTTACCAGGGCGGGTGAACATTTCACCCTCATCATTAGGACCATCAACTACCTCAATCTCAGCAGCCATTGCCTTTGTTTCCTCTTCAGTATAGGCCACGCCAACCAAATCACGGTACGAAATCAAGGACATGGAGTGACAAGAGGCACAAACTTGCGTGTAAACTTGATGCCCGCGCCGAATTCTGTACAATAATATTTTTAAGATAAATTAGAGCAGCATACAAGAAAACAAGGTACTAGCACTTCAGTAAGATTTTTTCCTGGAAACAAGACAGCTAAATATTGACTTCAGCTTTTATTCTTAAATTAGTATGACATGTCATTTAAGAAATATATACCACAGTACACAAAAAGGTTGTCACTGTGCAACAATCCACATTTCATCAATAAAACTTGCACGAATTTGTAAACACCAAGCCATGTCATATATCATGTATGAAATAAAGATTCATGAAAAGGAGAGGATATGGTTGACTTACGATGCGTGATCATACGAGCTCATGATGCCAGCATGTGGCCAGGGATAATCTGGGGCTGCCAAGCCATGCTCAGCTTCATCAGCAGATGCTATTGTAGCAAAACTAAAAAGACCAGAGGCACCAACTCCAAGAAGAGCCAATGCTCTCAGTCCAGCAGAGGACTCTTCATGCTTTCCTCGAACTGAAGAAAGCAGTGATGAACCCTGAAGAGCATGATAACAATGTAGAGACAATCGAGACCCACAGAAAAATGGTATTTGTCTAACCAACTCGGAAACATGCTCTTCTAGATAACAAATTGATTTCCGGAAGTACTAATTTTGATTCAGAATGGAGGGCGACAGTAAAAACAGGATAAATAGTCAATGTCCAGCCAACAGAACTTTAAAATGTACCATAATGTATGTTATCAGGTTCAAATCTATACAGTAGGAGAAGACAAAACTGAGAAACAAGAGCCATACAAGAAACACATGCAGCAGTGATTTATCATCATCACTTGATGGAGATAGTGTAGATTCCAACAGGCTAAGCATGTTTACTATGATTTGTTTTTAAGCATCACTTGATGGCGATAGTGTAGATTCCAACAGGCTAAGCATGTTTACTATGATTTGTTTTTAAGCATGAGCAATAGATTCCAGTCAGATTCCATACTGTGATGGTGCACCCAAGATGGATATGTGGAAATAAAAATCACATGATAAGAAGATTGAATATGGATGCAATTTAAAGAAACTAGCAAACAAACAAAGAGTTCACCAAAATACTTACAGCAGACTGGTTGTGGAGAGTTCTCTTCAGAAGCTGGTTAATGCCCCTTGCGGCAGCCATCGAGGATTCTGCAAATTCCAGTATGACGACTTAGTTACATAACAAATGGTTCTGATTCAACAATTACCAGGAGCACGTTTCAATCCCACTGACGAAGTGACAATAGTCGACCAATCTAGTGAATTCACTTGAAACAGAATCACATTATTACGAGAACAAAATCAGGAGGCTTTGTTGCTAATTTCTTCAGTATAATACCCAAACCCGCAACAGATTAATAAGGCTAGATTTTGCATTCTAGGGATCATAGACAACGAGGAAATGGTTCTGCAGAACACAACTAGCAACCTAGCGCGTCGTAACAAGCAAAACAAAAGGAAACAAACAGAAATCGACTTAGGTTGGAATGGAGGGATCTCCAGCCCAGTGAAATGCAGAGGGACGACAACGACGACTTCGGTGAAGCACGCGAGATGAAGTGCCGGATGCCCACGATATGATTCGCACAGATCTAGCCGCCCGATTCCTACGGCCCCAAGAGGCCAATACCCGACCCAGGAGTCGTCTGCAACTACCGGAGGCTAGAGCAGATCACCAGATCGGAGACCCCAGATGCCTGGGAAGGGGACGAACCAGCGGAAACCAAAGGGATCAGGGGTACGGAGCAGTTACCTGCAGGGCGCGGCGCGGGCGGAGACGCGGGGCTCCGGCGAGCGGCGGCGCGGGGAGGGAGGCGGAAGGAATGGGGTAGGAGGAGAGGGTGCGGGAGCGTGAGATGGGCTTTGCGGCGATGCCGATGCCGCGATGCGCCTCGGACCCGGCGGGGTGCCGATCTTTGGGGGGCGTCACACTGACACGTGGGGTCGCCTTGTGCGTGGCTGCCGGACGGGCCACGTGGGCCCTTGCTAAGCGATTGCTTCTAGCCCTTGAGGCCCAAAACGATCGGCTGTCATAGAGGCCCAAATGAATAGGTTGTTTATTTATTTCCCTTCAGAATTGTTCCTCGTTTAATAAATGAATTATTAATTAATTAAGAAAACAAAATCGGCGCTTTAATCCCAGCCGTCGATCGTGCTATCTGTCACCCACTTGTTATGGCGCTTTTTTTAATCCAAAAACGAGAGGCGCACCGTGCACCGGTGCAAGGGAGCGGCAGATAGTTCTTTTGCTCCTCGAAGTCCCATCCTCCTCTGCTCCTCAATCCGCAATCGCAGTTGCTCGGTCGATCCATGCTGGCGCACCCGAACGGTGTGGTCCGGCCGTCGGCCAAGGAGCCGCTCTTCTCCTTCGGCGTCATCGCGGACGTGCAGTACGCCGACATCCCGGACGGGCGGTCCTTCCTCGGCGTGCCGCGCTACTACCGCCACAGCATCGCCGTCCTCCGGCGCGCGGTCCAGAGGTGGAACGGCGAGAACAGCGTCAGGTTCTGCATCAACTTCGGCGACATCGTCGACGGCTTCTGCCCCAAGGACAGGTCGCTGGCCGCCGTGCAGGCGGTGGTGCGCGAGTTCGACGGCTTCCGCGGCGGGCCGGCGTACCACATGCTCGGCAACCACTGCCTGTACAACCTGCCCCGGAGCGAGCTGGTGTCCGTGCTGCGGATGCCGTCGGCGTCGCCGGGGCGCGCGTACTACGACTTCTCGCCGTGGCCCGGGTACCGGTTCGTGGTGCTGGACGCGTACGACTTCAGCGCCGTGGGGTGGCCGCGCGACCACCCGGTGTCCTTTGCGGCGCGGCGGTTCCTGGAGAAGCGGAACCCGAACCACGACAAGAACAGCCCGACCGGGCTGGCGGGCACGGACCGGCGGTTCGTGATGTTCAACGGCGGCGTGGGCGACGCGCAGCTCCGGTGGCTGGACGGCGTCCTCCGCCGCGCGGCGCGGCGCGGGGAGAAGGCCGTCGTGTGCAGCCACCTGCCGGTGCACCCCGGCGCGGCGTCCCCGACGGGGCTCATGTGGAACTACGAGGAGGTGATGGACGTCGTGCGCCGCCACGGCGGATGCGTCGTCGCGTGCCTCGCCGGGCACGACCACAAGGGCGGGTACGCCGTGGACGACCGCGGCGTGCACCACCGCACGCTGGAGGCCGCGCTCGAGTGCCCGCCGGGCACCGACGCGTTCGGGCACGTCGAGGTGTACCCGGACCGGCTGAGGCTCGTTGGATCGGACAGAATGGCCAGCACGGAGATGCTACTCAGCTCCTCCAATGAGCTAGCTTCCGCGTAGAACCTACGGAGTACCTGCTTCTGCTTGTATGAACTAATGAACACCGATACTTATTACTCTCTTGCTCTCCTGCGGCCATCGTCGTTAGCGTTTGTTTCTTGTAGTTTGTAGTGAACAGAATGACAACTGAATCATGGATGATACCAACGAACCCAGCCAATATACGTACAATCTAAAACACGGGTCAATGGCACGACCCGTAATTGGGCCAACAATGCACAAAAATGACACATCTATTACTGCTTGTCTTCTGTACTTAGGCATATGAACTCTATGATCTCGTCCCGCTCCAGGGCCCAAATGCACTTGGCCAGGTTGCATTCCAAAAGAGCATGCCTCCAAGAGTCAACTCCACCAAACAAAGAACACCCCCTATCCTACCTTCGTGTAGTTTGATCAATAAGCTCACTAACCCATTGCGGTGGATTGGCCTTCACCGGACACAATCACACAACAGCTGCAACATGTCGTCCCTGGGCAGCCAAGGTGTCCTCCATATCCTAGTGGACTCGCCTGACCAGGTCCTGCATATCAAGCCTTATCGCAGCACCTCAATGCCTTCGACTATTGCCCTCAAAACTCGGGACGGGATGATCCCACCACCTCTGTCTCCAATAGATTACCCGTAGGAAAAATAAATAAATTGACTTGAGGACCCTCGCATTGAGTGAATGTGGATCATTGTAGAACTCGCCAAGCCTGACACGCCAGCAAAGCCTGGTTGAAGAGCTCGATATATCTGAAAACCAACCATATTAAATAGACATAAGGAGCAATAACAATATGTTTCGATAATTGCTGGGATTGGATTGGTGACTTACCCATTTAGTGACTTTGGCACTGGGCGTTCCAAAAACGGGTACTATCGAACCGGGTGAATTAGAGAATAGACAGAGGTTCGTTGGCATTTCAGCTTCTCTTCTCGTTTCAGGGCCTATCCGAAAGAGAATCAAGGACCTCTTGGTCCTGAATATCAGAATAGGACGAACGAACCGGCCTCCGCGGATATCTTTGCAAAAGTTAAAGCACCCAATTTTTCACACGATGTTAATAGTTCAGGAAGGTTAGAAAAACTTCTTTCTAGAAGATAACTCTAAGGCCTCATGAGCTGTTTGAAGCGGTTTTGTGCCAAATAGATATTTTTGGAACAACTTCACATGCAAAGCTCTTTAAAGCGTGCTCTCACATAGGATTGGTATGGGACGAAGCTGAAAATAACTATTTCTCCCAGCTTTAACTCGCTCTGCGAGTCTCCACGTAGGATTCTGTGAGACCATATTTTAATGAACTCTAATTATTTTTGTCAAACGATTTATGCTTCAACGCTATCGGTAAAGTTGCTTGTAGAGCTGAAAAAAAAATGTAGTGCCAAAGGGACCTAATCTAGAAAAAAAAAACATTTAGGCCGGCCCAAATGAGAAGCCCAAACGCGGATATAAATGGAGGACCAACAACGGCATCAAATCGGCTTCGCAAAAACCTCACCAGCTCAAATCCATCCTTTCCTTATCCCCTCCCCGTCCTCTCCCTTCCTTCCTTTCCTTCGCCATGGCAACCATGTCCCTCCGCTGCCTCGCCATGGCCATGGCCGACACCGCGCTCCCGCCCGCCCACAAGCTCCTCCCCACGGTCTCCCTCCCGCTCCTCTCCTCCTCCACCCACGCCGCGCCGCTCCTCCTCCGCGCCAGCCGCTGCCTGCCGCTCGCGCCCCTCGTGGCCTCCTCCGACGCCGTCGAGGCAGGCGTCGAGTGGGCTGACGAGGAGGAGGAGGAAGAGGAGGCTGGGGAGGTTGAGGAGGAGGTGCTGGCCTCAGGCGACGGGGGTGAGGGGGAGTACGCCGCGGTCGAGCCGCCCGAGGAGGCCAAGGTCTACGTTGGGAACCTCCCCTACGACATCGACAGCGAGGGACTCGCACAGCTCTTCGACCAGGCCGGCGTCGTTGAGGTCGCCGAGGTGAGCCGGACGCGCCTCACCCCCTAAATTTCCTATTGACTTTGACGTGCGATGTTCAGTTGGTTATAATTGCTATGTTGTGCTTGACGAAACCTAGAATTTACAGTAATAGACTGTGCTCATTGTGAGTATGTTCTCCAGTTGCTTCCTGTAACTAAATACTGCTCAGTAAATGTTTGATTCTGTCTATGGACTCGTTATGAACTTGTTTGCTATGTGCACACCTGTACATTCATGTTGCCTTCAGAATGCGGTGTTTCCCCAGTTTGATTCTGTCATATACTCATACGTCTTAGTCTATGGTACTTGTTGTCAAATGTTCCTAGAAATTGCATTATTCTTTTAGGCTACTCTTGTTTTTAAGAAAATATTCCTTGAATAGTGAAATTTCTTCCATTGAGGTTGTAAGCTTGATAATGTTTTGTGCAATTTTAGGTTATTTACAACAGAGAGACTGGCCAGAGCCGTGGGTTTGGCTTTGTTACCATGAGCACTATTGAGGAAGCTGACAAAGCCATTGAGATGTTCAACCGCTATGTAAGCTCGTTTCTGTCCTCTCGTTTCTCTGTTCTTCTCCAGAGTTAAAACAGAATTGTAATCCACTAAATCTCAAAGCTCTCATCCTCTGCATTCCTTGATGTTCTGAGTCACTAGGCTGCGGGTTCGAAGCAGCCTCTCCGCAGATTTTGCGGGGAAAGGCTTGCCTCGGTTTTTCCTTTCCCCAGACCCCACTCATGTGGGAGCCTCCGGCACTGGGTCTGCCCTTATGCTGTTATTATACATGGAAATTGAACTGCCTTGAGAGGTTCAGAACTTGAGATGACCATACATCTCATCTCATGGAGAAGAGGCAGTCCTGTTAGTCTCATCTCATTTTATCTGGTGGCTTAGATCAAAGGGGCACATATATCTACCACTTTAAAGCCTGTAGACTATAGGCATCCTCATATTTGATGATCAACTGCTTAATAAAATACACCTTTAGCGCTATTTCTGCACCTAGTAGAAGAGCACATATATGTCACAAATTGTGCTGAATAGATTACTAACCAACTTATTTTTCTATAGGACATTAGCGGGAGGCTTCTGAATGTAAACAGGGCATCTCCTAGGGGCACTCGCATGGAGAGACCTCCAAGACAATTTGCACCTGCTTTCAGAGCTTATGTTGGCAACTTGCCATGGCAAGTCGATGACTCTCGGCTGACGCAATTGTTCAGCGAGCATGGAGAAGTAGTTAATGCTACTGTTGTCTACGATAGAGAATCTGGGCGTTCACGAGGATTTGGTTTTGTAACAATGGTGTCAAAGGAGGAACTCGATGATGCTATTTCTGCCCTGGATGGACAGGTGAGGATAGTTTCAATTCTTAGCAGTGAAATACTAGTGCACAAGGTAAACATGGAAGCACTGAACTAACGTTAATTATCTTTTAAAATTCACCGTAGGAATTGGACGGCCGCCCTCTTCGAGTCAATGTTGCAGCAGAGCGACCACAAAGGGGCTTTTGATGCGGGTGGTACAAGAGAGATGGCGGCTTGTTTGTAATGAGCACGGAGACACAACGGAGGAGCAATGGTACAAATTAGCGGAAGCTGATGCTGTCACAAGTTGCTAGATCGGCCCTTAGCTTCCTGATGTTTGGTTCTTGCCACATAGCTTTTTGATGCTTCTCTTGGCAGCTGAACTTAATGTTTTACTATTCTTGTCGACATCACGAGTTGAATTGTCCAAGCAGGCTTCTATGTTCTATCCAGATATGCCTTGATCAGATCTCATCGTGGCAAAAGGTTTTGTTGGTGAAACCGTAGGAGCAAACCAAGATTATTATTTATATCAGCCGTATAAAACCGTACCAAGCGTGTAGCATTTACATTCATCTCCCCTCGGCTGCTGTATCATATAGCATCAGCATCCTTGAAAGTGTTATGTCCTACCTATTGTCGCTCGAGTCCAGATGAATTTCCAACCAAATTGTTAAGATCACAAAATTTGGATGGCAGCTGTGGCTCTGAAGAAACAAGTTGCACAAGTACGAGCACGGGTGCAGCTGAACAGAAACAAACGTTTCGTGATGTGTCATTTACATTATTTCCAAGCCAGCGCATATATTTACAACGGTAGCGATTCGATTGAATGCCTCACCCTAACTGGGTGAAGATAACATTTGACATGCTAGGGCAATCATCTTGCGTGCAACTGGGATTCCTTGCTAGTGAGCGGCACATATTGCACAGACGTTTCGTCTCTTATGCCGACCGTGCCATCCAACTTCTTGTCCACAACCTTCAGCTCCTGGAAGACTGTCCCAACAGGGATCACCATTCTGCCGCCGGGCTTCAGCTGCTGGATCAGCGCCTCTGGGATCTGCGGTGCTGCAGCTCCAACATGGATGGCGTCATAGGGTGCCAGTTCTGGCCAACCTTCCCTGCCATCTGCATCCATTTTAAACATCTGTTAGTGCATCAGGTGTTAAGGGTATATAGAACAACCAACAATGCTGAATGCACATGAGGCCAGAGTGCCAGACTAAGGAATACTAAAGCCGCTGCAAAATTCCTCATACAAGGACAAGAACCTCACAAATGGGGGAGATCCTCATGGTATGACAAGCAATATAACAAAACCTTGCTAGTAGGACACACAGAAGTATTGGACAACCTCATGGTCCTTTTATTCAATCAATAAAAGAAAAAAGGAAAAGTGCTATGGAAATGATATTTTCATCTGAACAATAACTCAGCTCACAGAGCGGTCCTGGTGCAAGCGGTAGAGTCTTACCGCCTGTGACCGGAAGGTCCCGGGTTCGAGTCGCGGTCTCCTCGCATTGCACAGGTGAGGGTAAGGCTTGCCACTAACACCCTTCCCCAGACCCCGCACAGAGCGGGAGCTCTCTGCACTGGGTACGCCCAACAATAACTCAGCTCACAGCAACTAAGTTGTTATATGTACACCTAAGTCAGCATTGAACCTGTTGGAAATTTGCTGCTTCAACATGGCTGAGTTTATGGTAGCACAAAACAAGCTAATATTTACCAGCAACGTGT